GGGTGGGGTGAGGCAGGCGATGGAAGGCCGATGCCTCCGTCGCCTGGCTGGAGTGGCCGCGGGGGGGTCTGGAGCCGCGGTCGCCCGGGCCGAGATTGGGGGGGCAAGGCGGGCGACAGAAGGCCGATGCCTCCGTCGCCCGGCCCTCTACAGAATCCACCCCCCAAACCTCCAGGTATTTCCCTCCTTAGAGCTGGCAACCCTACATTCCCCTCAGTGCCTGTTGGTAGGCATCTAAGCTTGGTCCTGTCACCTACTTTGGCCTTTGGGAGAAAACACATTGGGGACAGTCCTGATAGGGTTGGCAACTCCAGATGGGAAATTCCTGGAGATTTGAGGGATGGAGCCTGAAGAGGGTGAGGTTTGAGGAGGGGTGGGACCTCAGACAGGTACACTGCCATAGACTCCACCCTCCAAACCAGTCAGTCCCACATAGGGAACCATTGTTGCCAATCTCCAGGTGAGGGCTGGAGAGCACTCAGAATTACAACTGCTCTGCAGAAGGGAGGGCAGAAGTCAGCTGAAGTCAAAGGGGCAGATAATGGTAGGTTGATGGCTAGCTGGGAAGGAGATGGGGTTGCCAACTACATCCTGACAAATTCCTGGGGATTTGAGGGGTGGAGCCTGGAGAGGGTGGGATTTGCAGAGGGGTGGGACTAGACTGCCATAGACTCCACCCTCCAAACCAGCCATTTTGTCCTGGGTAACAATTGTTGCCAATCTCCAGGTGAGGGCTACAGATCACTCACAATTACAACTGCTCTTCAGGTAGCAGAGATCAGTTCCTCTGGAGAAAACAGTGGACTCTGTCATTATATCCTGCTGAGGTCACCACAGCAAATTGACACTGTTTGCCCAAAGCCAGAGCACTGCCCCAGAGCCTCTTTCTAGATCCCGTTGTATTGCTTTCACAACGGACTTTACTGCTAGTATATAAATATAGAACTATGGCATGACAAACCCTGACTTGGATAGCCCAGCCTAGCTTGATCTCATTCGATATTGGGAGCAAAGCAGAGTTGGCCCTGGTTAATATTAGGATGGGAGACTGCCCTGGAAGTCCAGGGTTTCTACGGAGAGGCAGGCAATGGCAACCTGCCTCTGAATGTCTCTTGCCTTGAAGACCCTTATGGGGCTGCTGTAAATTGGCTGTAACTTGACAGCGGCGTTCCCCACTGTGGCATGATGGAATACGTGTAAAAACCCATTCCTTAATGTCTAGCGTCAGACTCTACCGTGTCCAAGAAACGGAGCCTGGAGGTGAGGCAGTAGTAAATAAACAGGCCGTGCTTAAGGGTAGGCAGCCTTTTTTGATCGAGTGCTGCAAAGATGCAGCATCTGTCTCCCGCAATGACATTGGTGTGCTGGTGAACAAAGCAGGGGAGAGTGGGGGGGTGAGGGTCGTACTTGGCCAGGCTCTCTGGGAGCAAGCCCAGTCCTTTCTGTGGGGAGGGCCTGAGAGCGGGTGGTGGGCACGGGCCAAGCCCCATTGCCTCCTCTCACTGCTAGCCCCTCAGGAACTTGCCTCTGCCTTCTGTGGATTCACAAAAGAGGCGAGTGGACGGCTGGGTTTGAAAGAGTGAAAAAAGGAATCTCTCTCTCTGCTTTACTTGGGCTGTTTCTCCCCCCCCCCCCCCAAGGATCTGGACACATTTCAAGATCCCTTTTCCTCCAGTCCCATCTTCTAGTAAAGCAGTTCCTTTCAGAAGGTTTTGGAATAATGCCTGCAAGCCAGAGACCACATTGCCTCTTTACAGGTTTCGGGGCAATGCTCTTCTCATGGAGCCCTCTAAGAAACGGAGTGGAGCAAATATTCTCTGTTGTGGTGGACTTGATACCCCCACGGTTTGTGATTTCTCCTCTTCTGCTTCCTCCCAGACTTTAGTGAAAGTCAACAGCAAACTGCAGCCCATGATAGACTCTGTAGTGGCCAACAGAAGCAAGTGGGAGGAACTGCACCAAAAAAGACTGCTCTCTCAGGAAAGGACGACGTCCCCTTCTTCCAACTTTGCTGCACCTCTGGAGGACATAAATTAAGCTTGCAAGTAATTTGCTGCTGCTTGAACAAGAAGCGACTGAAAGGCTGGTTGAAGTTATTGACATAGAGGGGGGTTTAGATTGCTTTAAGGAAATGTTATCACGGACACGCTTTGATTTGAACGAAACAAATGGGTATGGCTGACCTTGGGTTTAGCTTCCTGCAGGACACTGGCTGGGGCCAAAGGGAGGCTCTGCAATAAGGTAGTGTTGTGCGTTGGTCTCTGCAGTCACTCAAAAGACTTGGCGCAGTCTGTGTTCAGTCAGCGCCACTGCATTTCAGCTGCAGCTATGAAAGGCAGACACGGTCACAGTGCTGATTTGGGACTGACAGGAGCTTGCAGCGTAGTGAAATCAGGGAAAGGGGTTTTTTTTTAAAAAAAAAAAAAAGCCAATTGAAGCATCTGCAAGTGGATTCCAGAGGGGGAGAAAAAGACTAGTGTGCAGTGATAACTTGGGTTTGCATCACTCCGGGTCGACCTGCATTTGTGATGTATATCTATTTACCCTTCCCCACCCCCTTCTTTTACTATGCTTGAATGTTTCAAAAAGACTGCTTTGTATTCTATGGAAATATGTTTCTTTTTTTAAAAAAAACAACAACAAAGCTCCATATGATTGATCAGGGCTTTTAGAATTGCCTACATTTGCTACATTTAAAAGGGGAGGGGGAATGAACTTTATTACAGTTAAATAACCAACCTGTTCTAGCTTTTCCTTAAGAATTTCATAGTTGGCAAAGCAATCGAATTGCTCTGCAGGCGGAAGCTGATTTAAAGGTGAAAATTTCTGCATGGTGATTTGGGTTATTTTCTAATTTTTGTTTCGTTTTGTTCAAAACGCTCATTTCAAAGCTGCTTTGCACCCCTAAGAAAAGAGCCAACGGTATGTCATGAAAACTGCATAATAAAAATGAAAGCGGCTGCCTTCTGGTAAAGGATTTGCCCTATAGGATATGGGTATGACTTTCTAGTACATTTTCCGAATCACGCAAGTTCCAACTGTTAAGGACTGGTGCACTGCTGGAATATGTCATAAACGGAGCGATGACTACCTCTGCTTTTTCTCTAGCCAGTTTATTTTGTTACAATAATGTGTCCGTCCAGTCATGGCAGCTGGCAGAAATCAAGTTGAAAACTGCCTGCGCTGACATGCAATGAAAAGGTTTTTGTCTTTGTGAAATTCGAATCACGTTTGATAGACACAAGAGTGAGCTACACCCACAGATGCATGTATAGATGCTGCAGATTGAGCACGCTGCATCGGTTTCTCTCCCCCACATTTGTTTCGATGCTAGCCTGACAAGTTGCTAGCCCCCTACTCACTCATTAAGTCTGGTTCATTCAAACTATCAATCTGCTGGGTTGAGAAGGTGGGTTGACTGGACCGACATGCAGAGGGGGGGATTTATCCCATGGCTGTTTCATGTGCCTAGGCCACATCAGCCAACATTCATTGTACCATTTTGTGAGCTGGGTGGCACAGAGAATGAAGCGTGTGGCTGCCTCAGAATTCAATCACCTCGCATTCTTAACATGCCAGTTCAGGCACATGAGCTGACATGTCATTGGGATTACTCAGAGTTTAGTAGGGATGGTGGCTGTCAGTGGTTTCTGTGCTTGTTCTCTTTCCAAGGAACTTCTATGTTCAGGTTTTTGGGTCCACCACTTCTGTGTATATGTAGCAAAAGGCCTGTCACTGAAACGAATCTCATGCAGGCCCGTAGCCAGGATTTTTTTAAAGTCGGGGGGCATTTAAATTTCTTAGGGGGCACTGGCTAATCGAATTAAAGGAATACCCGGCTCCTTCCCTGCACCAGCTGCCACTTGGGGACCCTGGGCTGGATGGGAAGTTGTGGGGCCTTGCCAGTAAGTCAGGGGGGCTAGCCCCGAGATGCCCCACTGTAGCTATGGGCATGATCTCTTGGTGCATTAAGGGGTGTGTGTATGTGATGGCTAACATGGTCTTGATGGCTAACAGGAGAGCATTGCGTCTCTGTGAGATAGACTCCATCTTTCTGTGGACTCCATGTGCTTGACAGCCAGGTCCGCTAGTATGGAAAGCAGGGCTTGTCCCTGCCGCAATAGTGTCCCAAACTGTAGCAATTTGCTTCCCACTATAGAAAAGTCTGGCAGTTGTTTACCTGTGTCTGGGAAAGTAAAGGGGTGTATTCAGGGACACCCCTGGGATTGGGAGCCAAGGGGCATCCTGTCCCAGGCAACATACCCATTGGGCATTGGGTTGCCAATGCCAACCTCCCAGTGGGACCTACTGATATCCCAGAATTACAACTGTTCTCCACACTACAGAGGAGTTCCCCTGTAGAAAATGGCTGCTTTGGAAGGTGGACTCTATGGCGTTATATCCTGATTTGGCTCCTTTCCCTCCCCAACCCAAGCTCCACCCCCAAATCTCCATGAATTTCCCGGCCAGGAGCTGGCGACTTAACTGGGCATTAAGCCTGCTCCTGTTTGCAAAGCCCTACCTCTTCATTCCCACAGCCACATTCTAGAATTCTGTTTCTTGATATCAAACTGAGGCGAGGGGTAGAAACTAGATTGCCAACCTCCAGGAGGCACCTGGAGACCTCCCGCTATTACAGTTTGTCTCCAGACAACGCAGATCTGTTCCCCTAGAGAAAACGGCTGCTTTGGAGGGTGGGGTCTGGTATTATAGCCTGCTGCAGCCCTGCCCCTCTCCAACCCCCCCCCCCCCCATAATCTCCTGCAAACATACTGTCAGGAATTGCAGAAATACTGTTAGGTTGTTTGTGCATTCTGACGTCACAGCCCTCTGATTTCAGACCCAAACAAACCAGGCAGAAACTACTGCCTCCCACGTGACCATCTCAGCACAAAGTACAAAAAAAGATACTCAACAATGCTTTAGCAGGACGTCACAGCCCTCTGATTTCAGACCCAAGCAAACCAGGCAGAAACTACTGACTCCCACGTGGCCATCTCAGCACAAAGTACAAAAAAGATACTCAACAATGCTTTAGCAATGACCAACAGGCCATTCTGAAAATCCTATTTTTTTTGCCCTTAATCATTTTCGAAGATCTACAGCAAACATTTTTTTTACTTAACACAAACACCTAATGTGGTTTGAATTATTTTGCCAAAGACTTAATAGAACAGGTAGGGGAAAGGAGAAATCCGGGCTAGTACGGAGATGAATACCTACACTGTTTGGAACTTGTTTCTGTTACCTCTCCACTAGCCCCTCTTCGACTCCAGCAATAAATAAGAATCCGGGATGGGGTGCTTTAAACTCATAGAAGGCTTATTTATACAATATGTGCTTTATGGCAAAAACAGACACTGTGATTGACTCAGTCGTGCTGGCAGCTGCATAAAGGTTTCCTGAATTCTGATACTGGCATATTGCTACCCGTGACATAATTTATAGCGTATAACCTACAGCTTCCTCCAAGGTTGAGTGTTCCCTCATTTCCTCTCCCCCCTTTTTTTTATTGGCTTCAGCACACGGTTGCCCCTAGCAACAGCAACAGCAGTGACGGGAATGCGAAAGCATCCACAAGCTGACATCCACTCGAGGCCCTAACAATGTCAACCATCCATCACGGCTGGCTGTTTGTAATTGCCCCCATCTATTTTCCCGTGTCTCGTGGTATCTTTTTCTATTGTGGGTCAGCGTTCAGAAAGTGCTGACTAATGCTGTGGGGAGATACCCCTCTCCCCATCACTCCCTGCCCCTTGCCCCCACTAGTGACTAATTTTGCTTTCCAGACATACTAGGGCAGCTCCTCAGGAATCTGATGTCAATCACTTCTAATCGCAGGGACAAGCTCCTGAGTCATTTCTTGGTAGAGTTGGGAGCAGCCGTACCTGTAAGGGCTGCCGGGCATTCCATGTATTTAAGCACCGAGCCTTGTTTACAAAGATCCAGGTGTCTTGGAATTGCATAGAAAACAGCACTGTCTGTTTGAAGAGCCCTGCCTTTCTAAACGTCTCAACTAGGAATCGCATTCCAGTCCTGTACGGAAAACCCCTTATGCAATCTGAATGAGTGAAATGGCTACAGTTTGCAGCCACCAAAAAGTAAATGGACTTTTGAGGGGGTGACATGCATTCTACAACGCTTCACTAAAATATGCTGAGTTGGATGTGGCCAGCTTTTTCATTCAATCTCACTCAATTCCCTCTTTTGCTACAGCCCCTGTCCCACATGGCTTTCGTCCATGCTGGTCCCATGATCCCAAACATTGCCTTTTTTTTGTAGTAAAAAGTCCCCCCCCTCCCTTTTTTCACCGGTGGAAAACCTGATTGGATCCAACCTGCTGGGCGCTCTATGCAACTCCAATGCTGATACAACAATTTTAGCATCAAAAACACAACAGCTTCTATAAAATGTCACTGTGGCAAAATGATGACACAATTCTTACAACAGCACATGCATTTCCCCCCTTACATGTATAGAAAAGGAAGTCTTAACATTCCTGCATCTTAGCTCCTATCTCTCACATATGTTAATTCTGGCAGTGTGTTAAAGCCACAAATGTAACGTGAGACTGAGTGCACACATGCAGCCAATGATGTTTCATGTGTAAAGGTAAAGGTAAAGGTTCCCTTGCTCGAAAGCCAGTCGAGTCCGACTCTAGGGTTGCGGTGCTCATCTCCGTTTCAAAGCCGAAGAGCCAGCGCTGTCCGAAGACGTTTCCGTGGTCATGTGGCCAGCATGACTAAACACCAAGGCTCACAGAACGCTGTTACCTTCCCACTGAAGTGGTACCTATTTATCTACTTGCAATTTCTTGCTTTCGAACTGCTAGGTGTACTGGTCAGAAAAAGGCACTAACTTGGATAGCCCAGGCTAGCCCAATCTCATCAGATCTGGGAAGCCCTAGTTGGTATTTGGATAGGAGACCACCGAGAAAGTCCAGGGTTGCTGTGCAGAGGTAGGCAATGGCAAACCACCTCTGAACGCCTCTTGCCTTGAAAACCCTTTGGGGTCACCGTACGTCAGCTGCAACTTGC